TTATTATTATTATTTTTTTTTTCAGGGCTCCAGCAGCCAGACCTGGTACTCATAAAGTCGGTATTTGTAGAAGCTACTTTGCAAAAGAATCCAAGGGTTTTAAAGAAAATATCACACATCCTTGGCACTAACAACAGTTCCAGAAAAATGAAGTGTTCTTGGTGTTCTTTTGTAAGCTGGCAGAAATGGTTTCCATAATGGAAAAGTTAAATGTCCAAACAAAAATCAAATTGATACAATTGTTTTCCACTATTCTTACAATGTGGTTTTCTCCACACTAGTGGCAAATGCTGACAATTACAGCGTCTCTTACTCACCATGCTCTGACTTTATTTTAGGAAAGTCAAATCCATGTGATTTCTGGAGGGGAAAAAAAAAAAAGGAAAGAATAAATTATCTTATTTCCACTACTTCTACTATACCAAGTTAAAAACAGCTCAGTTTTTCACAGACTGACACAGACATATGCATATAGATATGCAAACACTAACACATGAAACAAACCCCCAAAAGTTTTGTTTCATCAGAAACTTTTGTATTCTGTTAAACTGCAACACTCCTGTTAAGTAGTTTAAAATGGACAGATGCTAACCATCAAATGTATTAAACCATCAAGTCACTATAATATTAAAGACGCTACCTCTTTATTGTCTGTACCAGTCTGTACACTCACAAGTAATAGCTAGTCATACTCTCTTGATTCCTCTGTGTATTTTAAAGAACAGCTGCTAGATATACATGCAGTACTTTAGTTTTGTGCTAAAGAGGGCATTCTAATGCAGCAGCTGATTCGATCTTAACATAGATGTTACAATCTTACTTTTTAATTCTAAAGTGATGAAAGAACTGATATTTAAAACAAGTCTTACCTGCATGTGAAGATACAATTTTTCTGTGGTGTCCGCTTGTTGTTCACAGAACAGGCAAACTGCGCACACAGGATGCTCTTCCCAGTCAGACCAGTCTCTTATGATTAAGAGTAGAAAAGTCTCATTTAATTGTGGAAAAGAGAAGACATATTTTGTGAAAGGGCACTTCAGATTCTGCACTCACAGCACTAGAACTAAATCCAGAGAAACTGAATACTTTAGTGGGGTGGAAGAAACAGTGTGGATTTATAGCTGAATGCATGACTAGAATCTGGTTTACAGTCTAAAAAAATTACAAATTCAAGAATAACTGAGCAGTTACTGTTGGGTAATTCCTGTGCAGACAGGCAGTAAGTCCTTTTTGAATTTACCTACACTAACAAACAGGATCTTAACTTCAGTTTCTATTCAGTTTGGTAAGTCATCAAATGTCGCATTCAGTGTTTATTTTTATAAGGTCTTTTAAAATTCCTTTATACCTTTCTAATCTTTCAATACACCAGCCAAAGACAAAATAATCAGGCAGAGTTCACTCTAAGTGTTATTTACTTATCAAATATTATTATTCCTGAAAGAGACACTAATTTATGCTACATTTAGACATGCACACAGAGAATGCTTTACCAATACTTCTGTTTAGAACTCCAGTACTGCTGAGAGATACAAATATTATTGCAACCAGGTACAATCAAGTAAAATTAAGCTCAAGTCACAGATAGAACCAGGAAGGTCAGGGGCCCTGATACCCACAAATTACTTCCTGCTTATTGAATTTTCTACGGCTAAGGAAACCACCTCTGCAGTGATCTGAGGGCCTGGACCACAGAAGAATGCAGAGGAGAGGTGGATGTCCAAGTTCACAGGTTCAATCCCTGCTCACTGCAGGGGGGTTGGGCTAGATGATCTCTCAAGGTCCCTTCCAACCCAAAGCATTCTATGATTCTATGATTCTATGTTGCCCTCAATCAGCACTGTTGAGAAGTTTCCTTCAAAATCCTGTTATCAGACTTCTTCATACCATTTCTTTCTCATGCTGATATTTTTGATGCTTACTCTTGATTTTTAAATTTGAGCAAAACCCGTTCAAGTGATTTTAGTACAAAGGTAAAAAAAACCAAACATTTTGCCTACATCATTACAAACCCAAAAGGCTGTTGTTTGAGCTATATACAAATGAAAAATAGGCTTGTGGTTGAAATATGAAATTTACAGCCCTTGTTGTGGAAAAGTGTCTTTGATGAGAACAATTTGGAGTTGGTTTGATTGGCTTAAATGAATTTTAACTATGTACTAACTGAGCACAGCATTTTCCCTGTAACTACTTTCAACAATAAGGGCCTTGTACGTCTTTATAATGGGCACATAAGTCATTCTTACTCTTCTAGGTTATCTAGTAATTCCCGGTCGTCCTCTGACTGCACTTCCTCCCAGGACTTTCCAAATTCCTGGGGTGAAAAAAGAAAAGAAAAGAAAAATAAAAAACATTTCCTGATTCACATCACATTTTATGTATCAACTGAATGAACATCTGGGAAGTCTTATTTTGGATCACTTTGGTATTTCAGTGAGTTAAAGGTAGTCATACAACACTGCTTTAGTAATACTTTTTAAAATAACAATTTGTTTTCTCTTTTAATGGGGCATTCTCCACCCTATGTCTGGGAAGAAGATGATTTGGCACAGAGCTCTCAAGAAGAGGATCCAAGCTCTGTGTAAAACCACAGTGTTGTAACACTACTAAGATGTTCCCAAGGTGGGTATGTTATCACTGTCTCGCGTTTGCCATCACGCTTGCTCAATGCTATCTGCCTACCTTGCTCTTCATCCAGCATATGCTGCTTAAACAATGCAGCTATCACACCTGAGACTTCAGCTGGCATAGCTACACTAGTCAGCACTCATACCTTGTACAAGATTATGTCGGTAAAAACACATGGCGTAAACCTAGCTAGAGAGTACTCCAGAAAGGCAGTATGAGCCAGGGCATAGATCTCTCACCTAGAATCTAGTTTCTCTTCCATCCTCTTCTCAGATGTGAATGTAAGCACATCTATTAATGGTGTTCTATTCTTCCTTTTACTTTTTGTGTTGTTTATTTATATCTTAAAGACCTTCAGCACAACGTATATCACAATACATTTGTGCAGCATTCAGCACAATGGCAAGCACTCTCAGCATGACTGTGATATAAATAACAGGCAATAAAAAGCTGAAGTACTCTACTGAAATACCAGCAGTGATGTTTAGCTAGTGTTTTTCTTTCCTCTGATTCTTCCTGCCTTTAAAAATAAACCACAACAAACTAACCAGTAATCAAAATAGTATTTTTTAACTCATACTTTTGACAGCTGTGAAGGATTCACAAAGATCATAGTTGATGATCTTGTCTCCATTAAAAAAAAGGCAGCTAATAAAAAGATCGTTCTTTCATTTAAATATTCATTCTGATAAACATATTTAATAACATCCTTAGTAACAAGTGTTAATATTGCCTTTCTGGTTGTTTGGAAAAAGAAGGAAAAGATATCCATCGTTTAACAATTTAATGAGAATTTTCAAAGCTGTTAGTGTCTATCAGGTAAATGATAAACAAATGTCTCTAGACAGCTCTAAACATAATGTCATCATATATTACAAAATGAAAATTCAGTAATTAATTCAGTGATGCTATGTGGTAGTGTGTAAACTCTCTGAGTTACAGGGGAGACTCATTAATGTCACAATTACTGTGAGATAACATGAAGCCATTAACACCTCTCACCACATGTTCTCCCAGCTGCACACTAGTTTCCTATGGCCACTAATGTTAACACCTTAATGAGAGGATAGCGGCCCACAACCGCTGCAAAGTGAAGACGAATGCTCACAATTTTTCCTCTTACCAGCTTAAAGTATATGTGCACAAAAGAGTATGTTCAAAACAGTAGCCAATATTAAGCTTCGCCTTTTAATTAAAGGTGAAAGGGGAAAACCACGCACAAGCTTTGTTATCGTTGCTGTTTCTTTACGGTGTTTCTGCAAAGAAGGCAGAGAAGGATCTTGTAAGAGGTCTCTGTTTCCCTCATCTACTTACATTCAGAGGAGACAAAAAAAACGAGAAAGGAAAAAGCTAATCAGGTTCTGCATCACTGGAAAATTGCACGGCGAGTGGATAACTAGGGACACTGTGATGGAAGTGCCAAGAGACTGAAGCTGAGCAATTGGGTGGGAAAGA